GTCACCATGCTCTGTCACCCGAGGTCACTGCCATTCCCCACTGTGTCCCATCTCCCCAGGTCTCTAATTATTCTTGGGGACGTCTGTTGTTTTTCTCTGTATCCCCTATCCCTGCACCTTCTCTCTCACGAGCACATTTGGGGACCGATTCCGTCGAAACTGGAAGATGCTTATTTACTTTCAAGCAAATTGCACAACATTTGCTTTACACACAAGGAAGCAAAATGGCCCAGCAGCCTGCGTGTGCCCAGAGTGTGTTCTTGGACTTGGAAGTTACATTTCAGTTTATGCTTATTCCTGCCAAGTTTAGACCCTGAGCAGAGAACACTGCTCCTACACAGGCCTTTAGGGGGATAATGCCATTTCTGGAGGCTCTTGGTGCCCCATTTCCTCTACACAGTCTGCCCTGGAGGCTCTTTTGTTTCTGAAGGCTGGGTGTGCTGTTGGTTTGTGAACGCCCAGCTGCTGCTGCTGTGGTGCTAAGCCCCAGGTCCTGGTAACTTGATCACCGCTAACTTATTTGGTCAGATATTTGTTCTTTGCATGATGATTTTTTTTAACCTTGGCAGATGCTGTGGCTCCCCACAGTAATGAAAGTGTGTTGTGAGGTGGTGTAGAATCCCAAACAGTGGATGATGGGATGTTTGCATTTGTTTTGAAATGCACGTTTGACTTTGCAACTTCAGAAGATGGCAGGTCATACAGCTCAGATGGGTACAGCCGGTCTGCTTCAAACAATAGAACGAATGTTGTTCACAGTTGGCTATTGCCTGCAGGGGGCTCTTTTGGGTTAACTCTTCTTATTTTGTTTTCATTCCCCCGCCCACTCCTTTCTCCTCTCCCCCCTCTTTCCCTTCCCTTCCTCTCCCCTTTTCTGTCTTGTCCCATCTGGGCCTCATGCCTCCTGGAACCCGCTGTGTAGCCAAGGACAAGCTTGAACTTGGAATCCTCTTGACCCCTGCTCTCAAGGGCTAGGATTACAGTGTACCCCACCATACCTAGTGTCTTAGTTGCTGTTTTATTGCTGTGAGAGACACCATGACCAAAGCAACTTATAAAAGAAAGTATTGCATTGGGGGCTTGCTTACAGTTTCAGAGGGTGGAGTCCATGACCTGACGTCATGGTGGGCTAGCATGGCGGCAGGCAGGCATGGCACTGGAGCAGCAGCTGAGGGCTTATATCTGATCCACAAACAGGAAGACGCACACGCACACGCACACACGCACGCACACGCACACGCACGCGCACGCGCACACGCACACGCACGCGCACGCGCACACGCACGCGCACACGCACACGCACACGCACGCGCACGCGCACGCGCACGCGCACGCACACGCACACGCACACATGTGCACTACATCTTCTAATCCATCCTGAACAGTTTACAAACTGAGAACCAAATGTTTAAATATCTGAGCCTGAGGGGGCCATTCTCACTTAAACCACCACATCCAGTTCATGCGGCACTAGAGCTTGAATCCAGAGCCTTGTGCATTTGAGACAAGCAGTCAACCAACAGAGCTGCCTCCCCAGCCCCTAGGGACTAAGAAGATGACCCTTCCTAGTGTGACCTATTCATGAGCCCTACATGCAGGGTCCCAGAAGTGATGAGTGGAGAATCATCCCAACCTTCTCAACAGTCAAGACTACTGGCTAGGCTCCAAGCCAGCTTCAGATCCCTTTCCCGCTACCGTCACTGTGGACAGACTAGTCAGGTTAACTTCTGACTCTCTATGAAATCAAGGTCCCACCTGAAGGTAAGATCCCCAGCACCACCAGCAGGCATTAGTAGAGAGTGTTCAGTAATATGATGGCACCACTTATCCCAGCATTCTCCGCCTTCCTAGGCTGCGACGCTTTAATACAGCTCCTCCTGTGGTGGTGACCGCCCCCAACCATAAAACTATTTTCCTCGATACTTCATAATTGTAATTGTGCTGCCGTTAGGAATTGTAATGCAAATATTTTTGGAGATAGAGGCTTGCTAAAGGGGTTATGACCCACAGGTTGAGAACCATTGACCAGTCGGCTCCAATGTTTTCATTACACTAACGGCGTAGTGAGTAGAAGTTTCTGGTATTACCATGCAGACCAGGTTCCAGACTATCACAGGTCCACAGACCTTTAAAAAACCCCCTGGATCCTCCTTCCACTGAAGTGAAGGTTCCCTTCCAAAATGGTTCGTGTTGTTTCAGGCATGCCCGTTTCTCTAACCATGGTAAGAAGCTGTTCGTACATTCTATCCAGAGAGGGGGGGAGGGAAGCTGACTGCGCCATTTTCCCATGTGGTGATCTTCCTGATCTATGGAGCTGTTGTTTTTGCTGCTGCTCCCACGTTTGGAGCACGGAGTTACTTTGGATGCCCGTGTTTACAAGGTTCCGGGTGGATGCCGAGTGAGAAGATGACGGGGTTTGAGGAGAGAGAGAGGGAAGGAAAACGGAGAGCAAGGAGGGGTGTCGGGGATGGAGGAGAAGCGGGTTGTGATGTCTGAAGAAGGAAAGGAGGGCACCACAGGGCCTGCCAGGGTGCCCGGAAGGAGGTGTGAATGGGATGAACGGTGCACACCTAACCTTTGACCTTGTGACTCTTCTCTGCTTCCTGTTCCTGGGGTCATCAGCCCTGTCATTTTTACTTCCTGAGGATAGATCCCCACAGCCACAATTCAGGGCAGAGCGCATACTTTAAGAAAGCATAACATGAGCCGGGTGGTGGTGGCGCACGCCTTTAATCCCAGCACTCGGGAGGCAGAGCCGGGTGGATCTCTGTGAGTTCGAGGCCAGCCTGGGCTACCAAGTGAGCTCCAGGAAAGGCGCAAAGCTACACAGAGAAACCCTGTCTCGAAAAACCAAAAAAAAAAAAAAAAAAAAAAAAAAAAAAAAAAAAAGCATAACATGAACAAATAAAGTTATTTCTTCTTTGAATACCTCTTCCAAGCCACTACGTGGAAAGTGATGTTCAAAGGTTTCCGATGGGAATTAGGCTGTCCAGGAGGAAATCCTTTTTGAAATTTGACATTATGCTTGCCATCCACACCTGCAGCTTCACAGGAGGAAGACTGTGTTATGGGAGGTGATAACCATAATGCATCTGTCTTTTCCAAGCCCAGGGCATCTTGGGTTTTAGATTAAGGAGGATTAGCAACACAGTTTCTGAAAGGGTCCAGCATGCTTCTCCATCAAAGTGAGATGGGAATTGCAATAAGAACACAGCGGTCCATTTCCTAGCGTTCCGCTGCCAAAGCTTATAGACATCTTTCCTTGGTTAAATTTTGCCTTCTAGAAATGGCTCTGTAACACTGAGTTGATGGATTGTTGACCTACTGCTTGTCGATGAAGTATGGCTGTCTCCAGCAATCTACTCACAACCAAGTCAGCAAGCCAGCCGACGACTCGATGTAGCAGCCCCAGCCAGCACGGCAATATAATTGGGCCAATTAAGAAAACAAAGCATGTATTGATCATGAGATGCAAACAGAAGATGTGGCCTTATTGTTGAGATCAGAAAGTCCATGATTGGTGATCTCTTCCTATAAGGTGACGATGCAATAATTCAATGATGTGCTTAAAACTTCCAGTAAATTTCCATCATTTCAAATCCTACAGAGGCCATTAAATCAAGGCTGATTTGGATGTGAATTTTTCTCTTGTACAGAAGCCCATAAATGGGATCAGACGGTCAAGGTAGTTCAAGTAAGTGGCAACTATTAATTTTATTGAAAAGATTGCTCACAACTGATGGGTCTGGTTTGAAAGGGTTAACTAGCATCCCGCTAATGGAAACACTATCACAAGACAAAGTGATATAGTTTAATGCACCCTGTTTTGATTTCAGAGTTCATATACAGTCTAGAGTAAAGGCCAAATGAATTTACAGTGCCTTCCCATGGAAGACCGGGTTCTGCTGAAGGATGTGTAAATTGGCCAGTAATCAGAGGCTCTGGGATTGTGAATGCCCTGGAAGGTTACAACCCGAAGCCCCCTTAATATGGGAGTGAGGAAGTGACGGCCACCTTTTGAATGACAGTGAACATGGGGTGCTTTGCATGAAAAGTACCCTCTAATAAATGACCCTTGCTCTTTTCTTATCACATCTGACAGTAATGAAGGGGCAGGGGGGACGTCCCCACCTCCAGCGCTATTTACACCTAAGCAGACTGTGTGGTCAGAGTGGGTCTTCCACTCCAGTGTCGGAGGGGTGGAAAGTGTGTCTCAGAAAGCTGACTCTTCACGTGGTTTTAGCCAACAGAAACAAAGCCTTTTCTTCTTGTTTACACTTGAGCTTTCCCAGTGAGACCCAGATAAAAAAGACACGAAAACGGGCAAAAATAACTGCTACTTTTTCACAAGACCCTACTTGGTTAGAAGTTCTGTGTGTGTGTGTGTGTGTGTGTGTGTGTGTGTGTGTGTGTGTATTATAGTTTTTCATTCATTCATTTTAGAAGAAGCAATTAAGGAAGGGAGGATTTATTTTGGACCTTGGTTTGAGGGTCCATCGGTCCATCAGAGTTGCTTATAGTGGTGGGACTGTGTACT